CGTAGCCCCTGACCTTCCCCCCCCCCCCGCCCCTCGCACTTTTTTGCATGTGTGCGTCGGTACGAACGGCAACAGCGAGACCGTGAACATTTCTGCGGAAGCTGCGACGGCATTGCTTCGACATTTTTCCTGGAATCGCGAGCGCTTGTTTGACCAAGTACGTTGTAGTTCACGCAGCTTACCACTGGCTGTTTCCGTTTGTGTCTGTGACTAAGCGTTCTTGTTTCTTGAGGATTGTCCAGGTCTAGGCTGGGTTGATTTTGGTTGTACCCTACCTCGTGTATTGGCTTTCAGCAGCCAGGGTTGTATTCTTCTTGGCGTTTAATCGTGGGGAATATGAGGTAGTCGATGTACGTTAGAATAATTTTTTAGCATGAAGACAAACATCCACCGTGACAACAGCACTGCTGTTTTGGAGGCAAATCCTAGGCCTTGCCGTTCTTTTCTCGGGCAATCTTTTTGTGTGTACATGATCCACTCTCGTTACAAACTGGCATGCGTTTTCTAGGCGTTGCCCCGCAGCAATACGGCCAAGCTTTGTCGCGAACATGCTTGGTGATTGTCTATCCTCCTCACTATTCTTCGGCATCCGAATCGGCGATGGCGCGTTCAGGGGTCGCATTGTGTCCAATATAAATTTGAAATCGTCTCCCTTGTTTTTCCAACACCAGCCAGGCCTGACCCGGCTGTGCCACCGCTCCTCCGTCGATGTGCGTCCTTTTCTCGTCCTTATCTCGCTCTCCTAGGATCGCACCCACCGTGTTAAGCCGTGCTGTGGTTCTTCTATGGCTGGCATCGACCACGTCGCCCGGCTTTTTGCACGCGCCTCATGCCTCTCTCTCTTTCCCCGCACGCCACGCGTCCCGCGTCTTGCAGTACTACACGTCGCCGGATTCGGTGATGGAGAAGGTCGGCATCGCCGCGGGGGGGCACAAGACCGGCTCCCTCAACGACGGCGAGAAGCTCGAGTGCCGCATCTGCTGCGACGAGTTCACCGCCAAAGAGGCGTACGCGCTCGCGTGCAACCACTTCTTCTGCCGAGGGTGCTGGGCTGCGTACTTGGGCGCAAAGGTGTGACGCGAAAGTAAAAGCTCCGCTCAAACAGGAAAAAAAACAAACTTAATTCAATACACCCACCCTTGACTGACTACTGTGGTGCTGTGGTGCCACCTCGACCGGGCTGTCTTCCTGTGCGATTGTACAGTCGTAGCCTCTCTATTAGGCGGGTATGTCGCAGACGGAGTCACCCCGCCCAATTGTAGGCACCCGCGCTATTCATTGAATAGATGACCGTCTTTGGGTATTCCATCTGTGCTAGCGAATTTCACCCGCCCTAAAGCGGGCACACCCACTTTGAACAACCCGCCTTGTGGAGGGCCTCCGACTGCTGTAGCGCTATTTGCAGCTCCCTTTCCACGCACGGCCGTGGCACTCACGGCAAAGACTTCATTCAGCACACACAGCCTTTGTTTCTCCGCAAGGGCTCTCGGCTGGAGGTCACTTTTGGCGACCCGAATTTTGTTGGTCCGTCCACGGGTCCAAAATTATTTGGTGGTGGGAGGTGGTGAGTTCGAGTTCCCGGCGTGGCGGCGGAAAAAGCCGCCTTGCCGACAAAAAAATCGTTTACGTTTGGACACGGATTCCCGCCATCCCTCCCGTGCTATCTCCCACCGTAAATATACGCAACCGCGACGCCTGTGACCGCGTTGCTTGCCTGCAGGTGCAGGAGGGTCCGACGTGCGTCTACACGACGTGCCCAGAGCATAAGTGCCCCCAGATCGCGAGCGAGAGCACCTTCTCCGAGTTCCTGTCTGCGCAGGACCTGAAGCGCTACCAGGTCTTCTCCCTGACGAGCTTCGTGGACATCAACAAGATGCTCCGATTCTGTCCCGGGAAGGACTGCGGCATGGTGGTGAAGGCGCCGCTGAGCTACCCGCGGAGCGTACGGTGTAACTGCGGCTCGGTGTTCTGCTTCCGCTGCGGGGAGGAGGCGCATGACCCGGCTTCGTGCGAGGAGCTGGCGATGTGGAAGGAGAAGTGCCAGAACGAGAGCGAGACGGCCAACTGGATCCTGGCCAACACCAAGCAGTGCCCCAAGTGCAAGACGCGCATCGAGAAAAACCAGGGGTGCAACCACATGTCATGTCGACAATGCAAGGTATATTGCGGTGTGCTTGAGCGTTTGCATGTGGTCGGCAGGAAGTTGTTGGATGATCGCAAGAGTTTCGTTGGATCTGTTGTCCGAGCGGCTGGCTTTGTTGTTTTCGTCGCATGTGTTTTTGCCGGGTGCGACGGTGTCGCGGTCACCACCCGGTTTGCACACCGGCAGCAGCAGCAGTCACGGAGCCCGCCTACATCTTCGTTTCAAAGGGGAGCACCTCATTCGTGGTATTTCCTTATCTTCCCTCTCGCTGCAGCTGTCGTGTCCGCAGCATTTGCGTCACTGCGTTTTTTGGTCGAAAACGCTTTCCTCTGCCCGAACCTGCGCCCCGTCTCCCCTTCGTCCTCATGTATCGTCGTCTTTTCCCCACCCATCCCTCCCTTGCCCTCCGCGTGGATCAGGCGGAGTTTTGCTGGATCTGTATGGGTGACTGGAGCGAGCACGGATCTAGCTCGGGGGGTTACTATAAGTGTAACAAGTACGAAGCAAAGGAGGGAGACGGGGACAACGACGTCGCCAAGGCCAAGGCGGAGTTGGATCGCTACCTCCACTACTACAAGAGGCGAGTTGTCCGCCCCCCCCTGTTGTTGTTGTTGTTGTTACTGTTTCGCGCACTGCTTTCTTTTTTCGCTTAGTACTACTAGCATATGTTGACGGGGCGGAAAGGGTGTGCCTTTTTTTGCATTTGGTTTTGGTGGGAAGGCGCACCGAATTCATGTCGCCCAGAGGCATGAACTTGTCTGCGCTTGTTTTACTCACCGGTTGCGTTCGCGGCGCTTCGACGGAAGGCCACGACGACGGCTGCCGTTTTTTTTGTTGTTTTGGTGGCGTTGTGCTGCTGCCGGTGGCATGCCATGGTTTCCCTGTTGCTGGCGTCTAGAAAGCAATGTTATAGCTGCAGGACCCCCCCCCCGATTGGTCAACCTCTGACAGCCTAGTCCCCACTGGCACTTCAAAGCTTTAGTGGCTCGGAAGTTGAGGACAGAAACCGTTGGACGCGTTGATTGTGGGCCACGTTGGTCGTTCGTACCCACCTCCCTATTGTAGCGACATGTATGACCCCCCCCCCATACCGTACCTTGTTCGCGGCCCCCGTTCCACCCTCAGGTATCAGGCGCACGACTCGTCGCAGCAGATCGCGGAAGAGCAGCAGGACGCGACAGAGCGGCGGATGGTGGAGCTGCAGGAAAGCTCGGCGGGAAGCGCATGGATCGACGTGCAGTTCTTGAAGACGGCCATGGAGCAGCTTATCGAGTGCCGCCGCGTGCTCAAGTGAGTAGTAGCACATGGGCCGCCTACTGCAGCTCCGATCCCTCTGGCGGCTTGTTCACATGCGCCGATAGCTTGACATATTGGGTGCCCAGTGGCTTTTTTTTGTTAACGCATCGTTGTTGTGGTCCGTGCGATTCCTGTCTCCGAGGCCTCTGTAGGTGTTTGGCATGTGGCAGTACCGTGCGCGAGTGCCATGCCATCGCCTCCCCCCGGCCTGCATTACACAGCAATTGCCTTGTCTTCCGTACTGCTTGCCTTCTCTCTCTCTCTCGCTCTCTCTCTCTCAACGGTTCCACTTGCTAACAAAACACGCCGCAAATAAACGTTGCCGCCACAGGTACACGTACGTGATGAGCTACTACATCGAGGAGAAGACTCCGGCGAAGGAGCTGTTCGAGCACCACCAGGAAAACCTCGAGAAGTACACAGAGCGCCTGCACGAGCTTTCCGAGTCTCCCCTCGAGAAGATCGAGCGCACCAACGTCATCAACTACACCCGCTGCACCGACCGCTTCTGCAAGAGCCTCCTGCAGAGCGTTCAGGACGGCCTCCAGGGATCGGTGTAGGGGATGGGGCCATGGTCCCGGGGTTTGTTGGCTCTGCGTTGTTTGGGACCAGAGAACGCACGTCGCACGCTTAGGGGAGGGGGTCTCCTAGAGACGGACCGGGCTCTCGCAGTTGGTTATTAGTCGGTCGTAGGAAGCAGGGTGGTGGGTTTCGCACGGAAGGAACCCTTGCTTTGCCACGAGCAGGCAGTGGTTAGAAGGTTGTTCCGCGCGAAGTGGTTAGGGGTAGGCGGCGGCGGCGGCAGCACGTCGTTGTCGCAGCTGGTATCGCTAGGGAAGCCCCACTGTATCCCCAAGGGCGAGATACCTCGTGAGGGGAATGAGTAGGGGGTGTAAACTCTTTTGCTGGCCGTATTTGGGTGTATCCTTGGCCGTCTCGTACCCCTGATCTGCTGTCGGCACGGAGTTAAACGGTGTTTCGCTCGCCCGGCAGGCAGTGGGGGCACCCAGTGCGAAGCGCCGTGAGGTATCCATTTATGTTGTAGTAGGAACGGGTTGGCTGTGACATAAGAAACTTTCGCGCGGTGGACTTGGGCAGCGTACCTCTCCGCATTGTTTGGATGGCAGCTTCGAGCTTGACGGGGCGGGGGCCAGCGGCCGCAGTCGGAGGAGAA